AAAAAAAAAAAAAAAAAAAAAAAAAAAAGAAGCTTTATTAAAAAATAGGAAGGAGTGGGCCAGGGATTTAGCTCAGTGGCACTGCACCTGCCTTGAAATCATTCTAACCAAACAATGGCAGCATTCATTTACTTCCTCAAGTATTTGTGTAATGGCAATTATTTCTCAAGCAACCTGACTAATAAAAGAAAAACTCAGTTTGCAAACATGTTAAGAAAAAATTCAGATTAAAATTCAAAATTTAATAAATCCTGGGAGGCTTAGGCAGGAAGATCACTGCAGGAAGAACAGCCTGGCTACATAGTGAGTTCAGGGCCAGCCCAACTATAAAAAAAAAAATTTAATGAAGTGTTTTCCTTTCAAGTTTAGTTCCTTGAAACTATAAACAACTGCGTGTTTTACTTAATGTTTGGAATCTTCAACAGAGTGTCATTAAAAATTCCAAAAAAACCTACCTAGGGCCAGGGATTTAGCTTAGTGGTTCTGCCACCTGCCTTACAAGCGTGAGGACCTGAGTTCGATCCATGGTACCACAAAAAAAAAAACCTACCTTCCCCATATCAATTTTTTTTCAATTAATACTTACTCTCAAACTATATTTCCAAGAATCTCCACCTGTTTCTTCCACTGCTGCAATTAAAAATATGACAAATGATGCTTTCCAGATACACAGTGATATTTCCAAAATCTCACTTTGGAAAACAAAAATTTAAACAACATATCTATAACATTTCTATAAATGGTTTTAAACATAATACTAAACACAAATTCTTGAATCTCCTACAGAGATTTCCTTACTAAAAGTTTCAGATTATATCTGTGTATCATACAGTCACTTATCAAGTGCTTATTAAGTCCATAAGCATTCTTGCTTTCATTAAAACATTTTTATGGAAGCTCAAAATACCTGTCATTTCCACAGTATCTAACATCACCTAATACAACATTATTGTAATCCTTAGAATCATTTCAATACAATAATCATATTTCTCAGGTTAAAATCATGAGTCATATATCCCATAAATTTCCTATATGCATTTATATTTACTTTTTTTATTTTGGGGGACTTCTAAACATTCACTACATTTTTTTAAATACAACTCATTTACATGATAATCAAAGAAATTAAAAGGTCTATTTTCTGGACAAAATTGTGCAACACATTTGAACAAATCATTTATTTTGTGTTTCTCACTTTGTTATGATGAGTACAAAGTGAGTCTAAGTTAATTTTAAGAAAAAAAAATTCCCAGATCAAAAGTGCTATATAAAAATATTCTCATTCTACATATAATTCAAATTTATAAATACTTATAGGAGACAAGCCATACTAAAACAGAAAAATTAATTCTTACTAAAGCCTTCTGGATCTTCTTCCCACATTGTCAGTTCTTCTTCAGTTAATAAAAAATAATGAGAAACCAATCTTCTACATATCTCCATTAAAGTGGGATACGTAAAAAATGACATCTTAATCTTATGGGCTTCAAGAGTTTCAGGGCTGCTATCTAGAAAAATAAAATTTCCAAGTTAATTAATTGCACAGCTGAAGATTCCACCTAAGTTGGATTATACAATTTAAATTTTTAAAATAAACCCTCAGAGGAAAAGATATACCTATTTACATATAAATGTTCACTTTTATTATGAACAAATTTCAAAGACACTTTTTATAATATACCTACATCAGTCTAGCCCTTTCTTACCACTACAGTTTGTACATTACTATGATATATTATCACAGCATATCAGTCTTTGACTCCCTCAAGTACAAACTTCTTCACTAATTTTGGTAGACATAAACATAAATGAATTCTAAATAACAAACAATCTAACCTTATTATCATCAAGCAACCTTATTTTCTATTAAGTCAGAAAAAACTATTATTGTTCAAATGAATACAGCCTAAACATGAACTGCAGTGATTATTATTATATATAATCTCCAGTCCTTAAACTTTAATGGATTTTCTATTGTGCTATAAAAGACAGTTTACTACATGCACCATGTGGGTTTTTTTGTACCAGGGATCAAACTCACAACCTTGCACTTGGGAAGCAGGCAAGGGCACCACTTAGCTAAACACCTGGCTCTGCACTATGTGGTTTTTTTAATAAGCTGATAGTCACATATTAAAGGCTATAATCTTTTTCTCTATTTCATGTCTCAGCAGTTTTTCACACTAAAATGAATTACAAGAAAATCTATCAAGACAGCAATTACTTCATATTTCACTAAAATAAATGAAAACAAAAAGTCAAGCAACACAGTATTACCTTCAAAATTTTTGGAAGGCTTATAAGCATAATTTTTGACAATCATCTTAATAAGATTCATGCACTGGACAATGAATCGTTCAAACGTAACGCCTTCACCAACTTCAGTAAAAACATAGCTTACAGAAAATTCCAGTGATCTCTGAATTAGAGGTGTAAATGAAAAAGGATGTTGATCCAAGAAGTCCAAAAGCTGTAAAGAAAAACAAATAAATGTATTTTCTCCCAAATTCATATTGGAATATAATTGCTCCAATTATAATCATGCTAATAAATATTTTAGCAAGTTTTGAACCTTGGTGAGGAGGCATGTAGTTTATATGTATGATAACTCTTCTTAGAGCATATCATACAAGAATAAGAAATTCTATTATTTCTAGTACTGACCAAAACAGACCCACTTCATATTTAATTTGATAAAAATGGATAAATGATATGAAAAGCAATACATATATAAAATATAGGCTTTTTAAAAGTAACAGATAAAGGGAAAGAATTTTTTAAATTCCTGCTTTTCCTACATGAAATGTATTTCAATATAGCAAACAGTTATGATGAGGGAGATTTCTTTATAGAAGTCCAGCTAATAAACGCAAAAGGAGTAACAATGTTATCATTTTGTAACCCAAATCAAATATGCATCTAGAGGAAAGGCTGCTGAAGAACTATGATAGCTCATTCATCAACCTTAGCCATGAAAATATAGACTCAAATATTGTGCCTCCTTCTATGATGCAAAAGAAATACACAGCATCACCTATAAAGTATTCCTGTCATTTCTACCCAAAAACAACGAAACAAAAAAAACACCTGAATGTGTTCAAAATTTTATGGTGAACCTTTTAGAGCTTTCAATGAAAACAAACAGCCAGCTTTGGCACACGTGCCATAGGTTCATCACAACTGTGTAGATCTAACTATAAATTTGTAGGAAATATGGGATAAGGGTGTGGAGACAAAGGGATATGTCCTTAGGATATGCAGCCAAAATTCAAAACACAGAAAACACTACATATAAGAAATAACCTGTTATCTCAAAAAATGAAGGGCAAGGATAAAAAAACAAAAAAACAAGGGCCGAGGATTTTGCTCAGTGGTTATGCCTCCTGCCTCACAAGTGCAAGGTCCCAAGTTCAATCCCTAGTGCCAAAAACAAAACAAAAAGCAAAACCAACATGAAAAGGCAACTGACCCTATTTGAGTCCTGATTCAAAGAGGTCACCATAGAAAACTTATAAGACAACCAGAAAAATCTGAAAATTAACCAGATACTTAAATGACATCAAGAAGTCATTACTACATTTAAACGTGTGATAACCATGATGAGGATCTTTTTTTTTTTTTTTCGGTACTGGGGATTGAACTCAGGAACTTGCACTTGCAAGGCAGGCTGCAGAACCACTGAATCCACGGCCCTAAAGATCATTTTTAAAGAACTATCATTTAGAGATATTTATTTACAGATAATAATATATATCTGGGACTTGCTTTAAAACAACCAGCAGGGGGCTGGGGATTTGGCTCAGTGGTTCCACTGCCTACCTTGCAAGCGCAAGGGCCCGAATTTGATTCCCGGTACCAAATAAATTAATTAATTAATTAATTAAATAAAATAACATAACCATCAGGGAGCTGGGGAAGCACAGATCAAATAGGACCGACCATGACTGCATGGTGATATTTATCAAAGCTATATAATAGCCTAATGGGAAAGCAAAGTTAATAATTTTACTTGGAGGTATCATTGAAGTATTCCAATTTAGTAAGATTTAGTAAGACATATCATAAATAGAAATTTTATAAGTGAAATTATCAACTTGTTCTAAAAAAGAATAAATTACAGATACCATCTATATATATCACTACCTCTAAAACTAAGAGAACTAGAAAATACAGCCAGTTGTCAACTGACTATCAAATACTCTCTAAATCTTATTTATATAATGATATACCAAACAGGAAGCACTGGTAGCAAAAATGCAGGTAAGTGTCATAGGTACAGACTGTCCAACCCCACTGATTAACTTTGTAATCCTACTCTTATTGGCTCTGTGTTAACTTATAGGATGTAAGTCAACTTTATATTGGGTCTTTGAAAATTAAGTGGGTTTTTGCTATAGAGACTATCTGGAATATAAGAAATGAAGACAAGTGAAACTACACGTAAATGCTACCTAAACACCAAAATAAAAGCAGTTTATGTAATCCTAGCACTCGGGAGGCTGAGGCAGGAGGATCGCTGTGAGTTCAAGACCAGCCTGGGCTACACCAGTGAGTTCCAGGTCAGTCTCAACTACATAGTGAGACCCTGTCTCAAAAAACCAAAAAAAAAAAGCAGCTTATTTCTTTCTGCTCCTTTCTCCTTTCCAAGGAAAAAAAATTCCAACCCTAATACTGAAGCTTCAATAAAAAAGGGACTTAAGATATTCCCATCTATCTTTAAATAACTATATTACTTCAAGTAATTCCTAAACCAGCCAAGTCTTCCTAATCATTATAATTCAATTCTTTGCATATCTCTCAGTTCTCCAAACCCAGAATGTCATCATAAGTTATTAAAAAAACTTTACCCCAAATTTATTCACATTACTTACTCAGAGGACCCATATGATTCTATTCAAAAAATATGTGATAATGATGATGACTTTCTGATATTACAGTGTCTGTTATATTTGATCTATTCAGCTGAACTGCTATCTTTCTTACCTCTTCTTTCTCTAATGGGTCTAAGGATATTGAGCTTTAGAGGAATAAACTTCTCTAATATTTACTAGAATTGATTAACATCAAGATGACATACACTATGAAATATGGTCTGTAAATTTAAATATTAATGCATTCTTAAGGTTTCAACATACAAAAATGATTTTTTTAACCTTTTTGTAGTACAAATACAAGTTCCTTACACTAAAATAAAAATCTGTGGCTACTAAAATATTTTCCTTTCCAAATAAAAAAAAATGTTCTGTGTGTTAACATTTAACCAACTATAGAAATTATCCCTGAAAGTATAGGCTTTGTGTGTCATATTTAGAGAAACAGTTAAGGTGAAAAGAAAACTTACCACTTTAGTAAAAAGAATGATGGTTTTCTCCAATCTGTCTCTACATACATTATCTGTACCTATATTTCTACCTGTTAAAAGTACACAACAAATATTAGTACAAGCTTACAGTAGTCTAAAAATTCAGATACTGAAACTTTTACAAAAACAATGTTGCCAGTTACATTTGCATTTTTAAAATTTATTTTGTTGTTGTTGTTGCTGCCAGGGATGGAACTAAGGACCTTGCACTTGTAAGGCAGGCACAGTGCCACTGAGCTCAATCCCCCAGGCCTTTATTTGCACTTAATAACAAAGTAATCATGAGTGCCATGCTGTACAAAATTAATCCTAAAATATGAACTGAACCTATTTAAAATGATAGGATAATAATAAAAAATTTAATTTATGATTTATTACTAAAAGACTCAGTCATAGAGAAGTATTTCTCAAGCAAGATAAATCACTCAGGGTATCATGCTCTTTATTATTTTTCCTATATCTGACAAATTTCTACTGATAGTTTCTCTAGTATAATTTTGTACATTCAGATTAATGTCCATTGGTCCATCAACTTTGTTCTCTCATCATACTCTAAATATTATTTTGTCATTTATCTCATTGTACTCTGACTTCTTTCTTCTGCTACCCACCATGGCAGTATCCAGAAAACAATCACTTTTTTTCCCAAATGACTAAAACGTATGAGCTATCTTATTCATGTTTGCATGCACTAAACAAAGGAGTGACGGGCAACAGTATCAACAATGTTTGTATTAAATTAAAAATGATTTTATTAAATTAAAAATGATTGACATAAAACAGTCAACATCCCTGAAAGTAAGCACACTGAGATACTTTCTCAGGGTAGACAGTCACCAAATATAAGGACAGACAGATAGACAGACAGACAGACAGACAGACACACACACACACACACACACACACACACACACACATACTACACAGTATATGAATGTATGTGTGCATCCTGAGCAAACGTGTTTACAATCATATGGAAGAGAAGAGAATAACACACAGAATACCAGTGAATTAAAACATAAACAATAAATTCTGTGTAGGGCAGAGGATTACAAAGGTTCCTAAAGCTAAGATAGAAGGGATTAAAAATATTTATAAAATGAAGGTATCATTCAAAAAATGTGTATCATAGTGATATATAAAATATCCTAAAAGAAACATGCTCTACAATAAGTCTAAACAGCATTTGGCATATAGTTTACATTTAATATTTGTCAAATATATGACTATCATGGATATCAATCTGGAAAGGGGCAGTAACAGTAGAAATCAGAAGGAATGGACACAAAATAGGATTTTTACAAAAGGTTTTCTCTATACTCAGGGTAAGACATATACCTAAACACAAACTTAAGCTTCCAATCTAATTTCAAAAAGTTACCAAGATACAATATACTAACGTTAGTCATACAAAGGACAACAAGATCTAAGGGTTCATTCATATTGTTTCAACAAATAGGTCACTAAATCTATTTCTCCAGATTTGTATATAGAAGCTACTAATGAGTAAAGATTAATTCAGGAACACTTATTAATCCTTCATCAGTCTTAGCTTAATAAAAAAAGAGTTAAGTCACAATGAATAAGAATTCTACAGTTAAAAACTTCTGCAATGGAAGTACTTACTACATTCCAGAAACTGTTTTAGACGTTCAAATATTCCATGTAAAAAACCCTAGAAAAGAATACATGTTAAAGTGTCTCAATTTACTCTAAGCATTTACCTTATTCTTTTTTCAGGATAACTAAAATCTATCTAGCCCTTAATTTAACAAACAGTTGAAGGATAATAAGCTAAAATTAGGCAGTAAAAGAAATTAATTATAAACAAATCTACAAGAAAATAACTATAGCAATTCATGTCTGCAATATCTCATTTCAGTTACATAAATCATTTTTCATAATTTCTAATTTTTCATTAAGCAGTTTCACTATATGATCTTTACTCCTTGATATGATTAATTTTTCTTCACAATCTTATAGCATCCATTGACATATTTTGCACATTATTTGACTCCTTGAGACCCAGAAGTTTACTGTGTTTACTGCTCTATCCCAGAATTCACAAATAGCATTTGGAAATAAGCACTCAATAAATGAATAAATTAATCATGTAAACCAAAGGTGTTTCAATTTCAACTATTAACCCCACTTAACAGTCCAATTGTTAAAATGAAGGATTACCAAATTTGAATATTTTTGTTAATTTTTATAAGACAAAATATTAAAATGACAATTTTATTAAACTTAATAACTTTTCTGTGTACAGTATATCTTAAAACATTTAATACAAAATGCAACATTACAATCTGGACAGTAGTATCTAGTCTCTTTCTGAATTTTTATTGCATTATTGTCTTTCTTGGAACAACATATTTTGCAATTGTCATGTTATTTTTCCTAACCATGACATAATTTCAATAAACTAACCACTAAATGTAATAGTGAAGAGGTAATCATGGATATCCTGGTTGCTGTTTTGCTATCCCATATTTCTCAATTATTTGCCCTATTAGACCTAATCTAAATTATTAATTTAACTCCTTGTTTGTGAATAACAAATAAGTTCCATATTGTTTGGTCCAAAAGGTACATGAATACCTAATAATATTTTTTCCTTACTTTTTGATTACAGGGTAACTTGTTAGATGCTGGTCAACTGTGTCAACACACCTCATAGAATTACTGTATCACTGACCACTACTGGAATTTGTTTAGTTTTGTTTCTTCTTTCAAGTTCTATCATTTCTGTATTATGAGTAGTTAACAATAAGATTTTTTTTTTGTCATTCCATTTCATAACACAAGACTCTTCCTCTCTGATATGCTAACATTTCTTACTGTTTTCAATTTTTCTTTTGCACATCTTTTGGCACTTTCTTCCTATTCTGTATCAGTGTTCCAAACATGTCAATTTGAAAGTGTAAAAGAATGCTACTGAGTTCGGAAGAAGTACAAAAATTATATCTAGTGCACTTGGAGTTTTTTATAGAGTATAGCACTAAATTATAGGGTATTTTTCATAGAATAAACAGAAATTGGTAAAAGAAAATAACCACAATTTATTACATTTCACTAGAAACAAACAACAAAAGAGAATGCAACACTCTAAAATTTACAAGTATGCAAGAAGTAGTCAATATAAAACAAACAGGCATACAACTGTATCTCCTTCAAACAAGAATTACTGGTTAAAATGACAGAGTGAAGCTTGGGATAGTATGTAAACAAAAGCACTCGGGGTAAAGAGAGATTAGTCCTTAGATAACATAAAAGATAAGCACTGCCAAGTACCAGTTACACACACATATATATATACACATACATATATATAACATAAATAATTTAAATATTACATATATATGACGTATTATAAATAATTTAAGTAAACATGAATCAATAGTGAAGAAAATTAGTAATAATGTAAACATAGCAGACATCTTTGTAGCCACAGATTTAACATGTCCTGTTAGCAAATGAGATGGTATAGGTTTTATCACAAAGTCCTAGACGATGAAGACTTTCCCAAGGAATGATTTACTCTAGAAAGCTCTATCTTCGATTTGTCCTGAGAACTATATTGTTAATTCACCAATTCTTCAGTTTGAGAAACTGAAACAGGATATCATCATCTGAAGACTTAGAGTCTAAGATTATACTTAGACAAAGTTACCATCATCATTAAAGTGCTACTAATAGTCTCAAGAGATGTATTCTCTGATTCATCCAAAAAATAGGAAACCTCTTCCTCTTTCAAATTTCTTTCAGTTCTTCGCAATTTCAGACTACAAATGAAAAATCCCAAATTCTCAACTGTGTTAAACAGAAGTAGAGGAAAAGACAGTGTTTCTAGTCTTCTGTTAAATCTTCTTGAAAACTAATACAATGCTCAACACAAGAAGAAAAGTGCAGGACAATTAATTTCACTATTGCATCATGTTTTTGCAATTCCACTATTCTCCCATTCACATATCATTTGTCTTTATAAATACAGTTGAGAATAACTGACCAATAATATAGATTAACAATAATTTCTAGAATGATGAAAGAGCAAAAATTTGTACTGTATGAAAACATTGAGATTACTAAATCCCATATAGACCCTACATTTACAAAAGGGTCCAATGGTCCCACACAGTAACTATAAGACAGAAGAAATTTTATTCTATTTTTTAAATAAAATCAGTCAGTCAGTGTTCTCAAAAAAATTAAAAATTCAAAGGCCATCAATTTTAGCAAGCTCATCAAGAGAATTGGCAGTACAAAATTTAGACAGCTAATTCTAAGTAATTTAAGTGTTATACAATATAAAAACTCAAATTAAAATAACTATTAAATTGTAATTCACAGAGTCCTTTAATTACTTGCCAAGCTCATTACAAAAATTATCTCCCTTAATTGTCACAACATCCAATGAGGTAGGTACAATTATTTCATTTCCAAATTACCAAAAGCAAAACTGAGTATCAAGAAGAATAGGTAAATAACCCAAAAGTATGCTATTAGAAAAAGGCCAACTTAAGGCTCAATTTCAAATGGGCCTGCCTCCTAAGCACAGGATGTTACTACTATCATATTTTCTCTTTAGTATAAGATTTATGTTGCTATTTTAAAATTTTTTATATTTGAAAAATTGTCCTTGATTTACTAAAATCTTACCCTCTTTCCAAATACTCAATGCACCTTAAATGTTATAAAACAAGGCATTAAATATAACCGTCTAAAGGTTGATATATAATTTCTGAAACAGAAGGCTCAGGAAAAAGCTAAAAGATCACAAAATTCTGATTCAGCAGGGTGTGACAGCATATGTCTGTAATCTCAGCACTGAGGCAGGAGGATTTGCCTTGAGTTCAAGGCCAACCTGGGCTACACAGAGAAGAGTTCAAGGTCAGTCTGAACTTCATAGTGGGACCTTGTCTCAAAAAATAAAATTAAACAAACAAAAATGCTGGTCAACTGTACCTACTGAAAACCACTATTTCACTTTAGAGAAATATAAATAAATTGTTTTTTACTGAAGGAAAGAAAACCATAATGACAGCTTCAATTAATACCAGTTTATGAAGTTCAGTAATATCACATACAATTAGTGAGACTTCTGACACACTACTTTTACTCATCATACATGCATTCAATACTGAGCATTTATTATACTGAAAAGATTGTCCCAAGCTCTGGGATGAACAGCAAGTAAAATAAATCCTTATCTTCACAGAATTTATATTACTACTGAGGAAACTGTCAAACTGGTTTCTAGAAAAGCTTTATTGGCAATATGGCAACAAAAATGTATCAGTGTATAAAACTGAGGTTGATGGGGCCGAGGATTTAGCTCAGGGGTTTCACTGCCTGCCTTGCAAGCACAAGGTACTGAGTTCAATCCCTGCTACCAAAAAAAAAAAAAACAAAAAACAAACCAAAACACCAAAAAACAAAAAAATAAAAACAACAACAAAAAGTGAGGTTGATGTATCTTCCAGCAATCTGGATGTTATGCATCAATATTATACATATGCACCTACTTTAATCCAACATTTCCGCTTTTACCAAAGTATCCAGTTATAATGTGAATTGTGTGTGACACTGGTACCCAAATGTTCATTGTAGTATCTTATCTACAGTTAAAAACTGAAAACAACCTATAAGTTCATCTATAGATGATTAGACTAGAAAATTACTAGAATCTTATATTAACAAATCTTTTTAGAAACATTTGTACAGTGACAGTAATCTTACAGATATTAAAAAACATGAAATATGACAGTATGAGTAGCATGGGTGAACCACTCATAATATAATGAGTTTCTTTAAAAAAAATTTTTAGGTAGGTAAAGAAGCAGCATGTGCATATGGCTCCATTAATATAAAATATGGTAAGAAAGTATCTAGAAGAATATACATAAGAGGTCTAAAAGAATATCTACAAATTTAGCAGTGTCTCTGAATAATGAAACTGTGAATGATTTACACTATTCTTCCTTTTAAAAAAATAAGTATGTAAACATTTAAAAAACAAAACACCTATCACATTATGATGATACATATTTACTGAGTTTTAAAATTTTAACAATAAAACCACTGTATTAGTCAAAATCTTACCAATATATAAAATATATTTTTAAAAATTTAGAGGCAATCCAGTGACTGTAATCCCAAAACTCAAGGAAGCTGAAGCAGGAAGACTGCAAGTTCTAGCCCAGCCTAAGCAACATAGTAGGATACTGTCTCAAAATTTTAAAAAAGAAAAAAAGTTCAAATACAGCTCAGTATGAAGGTCCTGGGTTCAATCCTCACTACCACCAACAAACAAAACAAACAAACAAAGTGACTCTGGTCAACTTTCCCTTAGAAAAAGCCCCAAAACCAAACTAAATGCATTTTTTTTCTCAGTTCTCATACAGCTCCCTCCTAAGTAAATCCACAGAAAGCAGCATTTCAGCTGAGCAAAGCCCACTGTGAAAACCATATACATCTTCATACAAATCCAGTTCATTAAGACAGGAAAAAAAATGCAGCCACATATTTTGCATTGAAAAAAGTAAACGGTTATATACCAACAACAATTAAATATCACAATAGGGAAGGGTACAGGGGGTGAAGGTAGGGCAGGGGTATAGGGAGAAAATAAGAACCAAGACATATGATGTAAAGGTACAAGATCCCAATTATAAATGTAACAGTATTGTTTGCTTTAAATGTACCAATAAACTTAACAGGAAAAAAATTAAACATCACAATTTCTTCTGGGCTTAAAAATAGGCATTTTTCCTCAACATATATATTTTTTTATTTATTTCGGTGCTGGGGATCAGACAGGACATCTAAGCACCTGACAAATGAGCTACATCCCCACCCTTATTTTTTTCCAGCCCTTACATTTATTTTTTAAACTGCACAAAGTGTATGGATTAATGTTATGATCAGAAAAAAAAATCATTTTTAATACTTGAAAATACCAAGGATATAAACAAATATTACAACTTAACAAGAGTTGTTTTAATCTAAATTAACACAGAGTATTATGATATCTCAAAAAATACACTAGGCCTATTTTCTCTCCTTTATGTAATAGCCACTTGGAGATAGTGAAAACAAACCAGATTTCTAAAATTCAGGAAAACAAACAGAATGCTAAAAAGATGGATAGTTACTTAGTAAAAACTGTTTTAAATGAATGCCACATAAAACGAGTATGATTTAAAACATTCAAGAAAATACTAAACACTGTCCCAAAGTCACAAAGAATGAATTATTTCAATTACTTACCATTACCTCCATATTCTTATGAGGTTCCACAAATCCATTTACAGTTAGCTTACGCAGCACTGAAAAGTAAAGACAAACTTTACTTGAATCTTCTTTTTTTCCTTCCTTCTTTCCTTCCTCCCTTCCTTCTTTCATTTATTTCTTGGTACTGTGGATTGAACTCAGGAAAGCAAAGCAGGTGGTGGAACCACTGAGCTAAAACCCCAGCTCATTTCTCTATATTTTAAGCTACTAAAATTGTAATTATAAGGACTCTCAATCACAAAATGTAATCAAGTTCAAGATTAATTTTACTCAATCCTATCATTTTAATAGACAAAAAAAAAAAAAAAAAAAAAAAAAAAAAAGCGC